AGTTCTCCCTGTCAGCACTGCTGGGCAGAGTCTAGTGCAGGAGACGTCTGCTGTGGGTGCCTCATGTGGATTACCAAGGGGCACGGCTTAGTTTATGTCTCTGTACACTGAGTGGCATTCAGAGTGATGGAAAATGTGCAGTCAGTTGTGATATTGTGTCAGCAAAGATGAAAGAAGTTAACTCAAGAACAAACAGGCAGCTTCTCCCTCCTGACAGATGAGATAAAATCACAGCCCACTCAGCTGTGATTCAGGCTTAAGTATTGATTGAGGGCAGCACTGACAGGATCCTTTGAAGATCTCAGATGCCTCCTATGAATCATTTCACACCTGGATGGAACCTTTCTCCTTTCCTGTTGCTGCAGCTTGCTGCTACAAGGACTCTGCAGAGTTCACCGCAGATTACAGAGGGGAAGAATTCGCCATTCCTTTCAGTGAAACCTAAGTCTGCATTGAAGAAGTCTCATTCCTAATCAGCTGAATATGGCCCAGAAGTTTGCCTGATTGGGACTGCTAAGAAGGGAAAGGACTGGACACAACAAATGGCTGCTGGGGAGGGTTTCTCCCCACCACTGCAATGGCGGCTGTGTTTTATTTCTTTGTCAAATATGCTTTTGAGTTGGCTGCTGGTAGGCAAACTCAGTATTATTTTAAGTTATTTAAAAAGTATAAAGTGATAAAAGTCAAGACTGTGGTAAAAAAATACATCTACAAAAATATGGTAGCTATGTAGCTCTACAGCTTCTAGGGAGGTTTTTTCTTTCGTTCTCTACTGTACAACTAACCACTATGTGCTACAAGCATTCTTATTTTTATTGTGTGGTTTTGTTAGTCTGATTTTCCATACTTGACCTTGGCTGAACAAGCTGACTTTTCTAGAATAGTCCATGAGAAACTGATGTACAAACTGCATTGAAATATGAAAGTATGTTTTTAGTAAGCAATTTTTATAACTGCTTTTTTTGGGAAGGGTAACAGTGGAGAACACAATCCACTTGGACAGAATTAGCAAGATGGCAAACAGAAAAAACGAGGCTTCTTCTCAACTACAGCTGTGAACAAAATAGTCTTCCTGTGTGTTTGCTTTAGGGATTATGTTTATGACTGTGAAGTAGTTCACTGTGTTACACATGTAATAAGTTTGTAGTAGCTTTGAATACTTAGTCACTCTATCTCTCTTAGGAGGAACCTGGTGAGATAAAAAAAGGAACTGTAATTGTAGATCACCCTGGATGCAAAATTGATAAAGAAAGGTACATACCTTGCAAAAAAACAAGGTATTTGCAATTATTCTGCCAATGTTATTTAAAAAAAAGAAAATAATAAATATATCTATATGATGCACTGCATCTTGTGAGTTTTCAGGTAAGCTGCTTTTTATGTTCTGTCTATGCCTTTTCAGGCAAATATTGTAATTAAGGACATGCAGAAGTAGATGGGGATACTGTCCTTAACTGCAGCCTGTTTGCTGGTACAAGGTGCTGGAAATGGAGTTACATATTCCATGAGCACCAGCACCAGGGCCTTGAGCCCTGACAGTGGAGGAGGATTCCTCTCCTCCTGTCCCATCCACTGAGTGGCGGTGAAGGAGAAAGAAGAGGCTAGAACTCTTTGAAAGGACAAGACTGCAGTGCACAGACTTGTCTCCAGCTTTCATCAGGTGTGGTTGCTCCCATCTTCCCCTCTACATCCTTCCCTCATTGTTGAGGCTTCTAAGAAGGAACTAGTTTCTGTAGAAAACTGGAGAAAAATGTGTATTCCTCTTCCACATTTTCTGGAAGTAGGATGATATGACAATAAGGAACAGAAATAAGTTTCCATGATGCAACATTTGCTATCCTCATTAACCTGCTTTTTTACCTAGCTCAAGGTAAAGCCAGAGGATTGAACAAAGGCTTAGCTTGCCTGTAAAAATAACTTCTCTTCTTCCCTCCTCCACTGTAACACAGTTTGACTGCTAGCCTTGTTTAGAAATGGGTTTGTTATTTATGCAGTTGGAATGAAGCCTTTGTAAATAAAAGGAGGAATAGCATTATGCAGCGTTTGGGCTCTGTGTGTTGTCTTGTGGGCCAGAAAAGCAGCATGTGTCAGAGTGCTTGGTATGGAGAGGTGGCTGCTGCCAGGGCACAGAAGCTGGGCAGCAGGTGCAGAAGCCTGTGGCTGGTGCTTGAAAGTAGAATGCAAATTCCCTAGCCTCGGGCAACCCAGAGGCTGCTCCTGTAGCTGTTATTGAACTTGATGTTTGATGTAGTCTTATCGTGCACTGTACCCTCTGCTACCTCATTTGGTGCATCCACCGTGCTGAGCTTTAATTTTGAACATCCTGAGCTACTGTCAGACTGTTGAACCACTAGCTTGGAAACAGCTGTTCACACCCATCTATAGCAAATGAGAGAGAAAATGACTGAGTCTTCTCTGGTCAATGAGTTCCTAAAGGAAACATCACAAAAATCTCTGAAATGAGGACTTAAAGGAATTCATTAATTCTACAAGTTGAGTGTTCAGACAGCACTGAAAATCCAGCTCAGTGCTGACAGATGTTCAGTGCTTGCTGGGGACAGAAGCAACACCAATGTCTCCTGTATAAATGGCTCAAACATTTCTTTGTGGTGCACTTTCTTCTTGTGGTGCGGAGAGAAAAACACTGTTTCTTATTGACCTATATGAACCAGCTTGTTCAAAGGCTCTAGATGTCTAGCTAAGCTCACAAGAACAATACCTGTCCTTTTCATCCAGCTATTTTCCTTCTCTCATATCTGGAAAAACCTTCATGGCATCATCATGAAAAGACTAGTCAGTTGCATGCAAAGATATGCAAAAGCCTATTTACAACTGTCATTTCTAAAAAATCCACCAAGAAACCTTTGCCCTCCACATGGGTATTTTGCATTTGAGTTGGATTTTTGTTGACCTTCACAGACTGTTCTTGACAGAGCTGAAACTGGTACTTGATCTAACACTAAATAGAATTTTTTTGGCTAATAGGCAAAATGTCATTAATTTTCCAAGAGTTCTGTTATTCTAGAGAATATTCCTTGTCATTTTGTGAGGCTTTCCTTGTACTAGCTGTGTGTAGCAGGTTCCCTTGTGGCCTTCCTGCAGTATTTCTGCTGGAAAAGAACAATCCTTTTGTAGTGCACTAATGTCTGCTTTTTTTCTCAGCTCCTCTGTCTCATCTTGGTCATGCCAAGCAGATTTTTCCTACATAAAGGGAGAGGCTAATCCTTAGAGATGCATTCCCTCACAGCTGTGTCTGTTCTGCTGCTGTCAGTCAGACCCAGATAACTTGCTTCTACCATCTCCTGTGCTTTGTGCTCATGGGGTCCTGTGTCGTCTTTGGTTTTTTTAGCCTGAGGGTAAGGCTGGTAAGGATTTTCAAGGGAACTAGCCTGTTTACAAGTTTACTGTTGTTAGGCATCTGCTAAACTGACACTTCACACTCATAACTGATCAAGTTCAGTGAGCTTAGAAGTGAGAGTTTTGTGCCAGAAGGGTTTGATACCAACTGACACTTTGTCATTTTAACATTGTGCTGCACTAGACTCTTGTGGGATATATATTTTTATTCCTCCTTTACTATAAAGTTTTTGCTATAGTGTGACCCAAAAGGATGTCTCATGATCAGCCAGGTAAGTACACTGTTCTTCTTTCATGGAAATTACTTTTCAGGAAGAAAAATGTAGAAGATAATGTGAATAAAGCAGCTGTTTTCCATGAGGTATTTGTATAGCCAAAGCAGTGTGAGTGCTGCTGATGCTGTGGGGTAGGATTTTCTGCTTCCTGGTAACACTTTTCTCCTCTGCCCTGTAAAGCCCAGAGGGTTGGAAAGGGAAGTGGTTCTTAGGTGGACTTGTAGCTGCTGGGGAAAACA